CTTTCAAGACCCCAGTTATTACTCACCAAAGTAGGATGTAAAACAGTATTTTTTATGTAGTATGTTATGCTGATTGAGCTTGATGTCCCCTGAAATCATGGTCCCGAGCCCACAGGTCCAACTACTTGCTCCCTTGGGGTGGTTGGTTGTGGCTAAGAAATGATAACTTTGCCCCTTGTTGGCTCTATTATATATATGGATTAGTATGGCTTTTCTAGCCATGGTCTTTGTGACTCCCACCAGATGACTGGATGGCACTATGTAAATGTGAGGCCCTTTGTGGCCTACCAGGGGTATTGGATAGTTTGTTAGTAATGTAAATAAGGTACATGGTACCCTGGTGGGGGTGGGATCATGGAAATAAGGTGTATGGAACCCTATCATGGGGATTGGTCAGTTTTGTTATTTCACGAGGCTTAAAATGAGCCCTCTCAGAGGCAGAAAGGGGAACTCTCAATATCATCAAAAAGGAAAAGCCAGGAGTGGAGCATGTCCTTGGATCCAAGATCCCTGCACTGAGATGATGGCAGAGAGACAGCAGAGAGATGGCAGAGAGACAGTGGCAGTAGAGGCAGCAGAACCAAGAGACCAGCACAAGACAGAGTGGCAGGCTTGCTGGCTCACGAAGCGAGAAAGCTGGCGGAGTGGGGTGCACCTAGATGCCCCTATCAACAGAGCTAAAAGAGCTTTGTAACACTTGCCAGAGCAAGGCAGAAGCCAGGTTGAGAAGCCAAGGGCCAAAGAGAGGCATGCCTGCAGGCATGGCCAAGGAAGGCTGTCATTGAAGAATTTAATGACGTGTTCATAAATTATAACCTGTTGCTTCCTTAATAAATCCCATAATCATGAGTATTGTGAGTTCTATGTGGCCATTGCAGCGAATTATCAAATCCAGTAGAGAAGTGGTGAGTGCAGTGGGAGTGGCAGTTTATGTCAGAATTGGTAAAAAGTTTGTAGAGTGGCAGCATGTCTGACCTCTGCCTGGAAGGAATAAGCCTTGGGCTGCTGATGGTGATTTTGTTTCTACTTTGTGTTTTTGTTGTTGTTTTGTGAAATTAGAAGGAGTTCTGGTGGCACAGTGTCTAAGGTGTTTGATTGCTAACCAGAAGGTTGGTGGTTCAAACCTACCAGCTGCTCCATGGCTCCATGGAAGGAAGATGGGGTAATCCAGTTTCATAAAGATTTACTGCCTCGGAAACCCAATCAGGGTCACTGTGAGTCATAATTGACTCGATAGCAGTGAGTTTGGTTTTTTTTTTTTTTTTTGGTTTTGTGAAATTAGAAGCAGCTCAATTGGGCAATCTACCTCCATAGAGATACTGCCTCAGAAACCCAAGGAGGGGTCACTATGAGTTGAACTGACTTGATGGCACTGAGTTTAGTTTTCTAGTGGCATAGTGGGTAAGACATTCAGCTGCTAACCAGAAGGTGAGTGGTTCAAACCCACCAACTGTTCTGTGGAAGAAAGATGAGGCAAACTGGTTCTGTAATGATTTATAGCCTTGGAAACCTGACAGGGGTTGCTATGAGTAGGAATGGACTTGATGGCAGTGAGTTTGGCTTTTCTTTTTGTGAAATTAGAGGTCACAGGATATCAACCCCATGCCCTTTGTGCAGGAGGCAACACTGGAAGCTCTCATTTGTCTGCCAAGAAATTTGGAAGACAGCTACCTGGCCAACTGACTGGAAGAGATCCATATTTACACTCATTCCAAAGAAAAGTGGAATGTGGAAATTACTGAACAATAGTATATAACAATAACAATATTATTAATATCACAAGCAAGTAAAATTTCAGTGAAAATAATTCAAAAACAGTTGCAGCAGTACATCAACAGGTAACTACCAGAAATTCAAGCCAGATTCAGAAGAGCATGTGGAATGAGGTGTATCATTGCTGATGTCAGATGGATCTTGACTGGAAGCAGAGTATACCAGAAAGATGTTTACTTGTCTTTTATTTACTATGCAAAGGCATTCAACTGCGTGGTCATAACAAATTGTGGATAAATATTGCGAAGAATGGGAATTTCAGAACATTTAATTGTGCTCATATGAAACCTATACATAGACCAAGAGGCAGTTGTTTGAAAAGAACAAGGGTATACTACATTGTTTAAAATCAGGAAAGGTTTGTGTCAGGGTTGTATCCTTTCACAATACTTACTCAATGTGTATGCTGAGCAAATAATCCCAGAAGCTGGACTGTGTGAAAAAGAATGCAGCATCAGAATGAGAAGAAGACTCATTAATAACCTGTGGTGTGCAGATGACACAACCTTGCTTGCTGAAATGAAGAAGACTTGAAGCACTTTGATGAAGATTAAAGACTACGGTCTTCAGCATGGATTGCACCTCAACATTGAGAAAACCAAAATCCTCAAAACTGGACCAATAAGTAACATTATAATAAATGGAGAAAAGACTGAAGTTGTCAAGGGTTTCAATTTACTTGGATCCACAATCAACGCTCATGGAAGCAGCAGTCAAGAAATCAAGTGACCTTTTGCATTGGTCAAATTTGCTGCAAAAGACCTTTAAAGTGTTAAAAAGCAAAGATATCACTTGGACTAAGGCATTCCTGAACCAAGCCAAGGTATTTTCCATTGCCTCATATGCACACAAAAGCTTGACAAAGAATAAGGAAGACCTAAGAAGAATTGATGCCTTTAAATTATGGTGTTGGTGAAGAATACAAGTATACTAATATACCATGGCCTTCTACAACAATGAACAAATCTGTCTTGGAAGAAGTACAGCCAGAATGCTCCTTAGAAATGAGGCTGGTGAGACTGCATCATGTTATCAAGAGGGAATAGCACCTGGTGAAAGACATCGTGCTTGGTAAAGCTGTTGTTATGTACTGTTGAGTCGGACCCTACTCCAAGTGACCCCCTCCTTGGGTTTCCAAGGCAGTATCACTACAGAAATAGATTGCCCAACCTTCCTTCCAAGAAGTGGCTGGTGGGTTTGAACTGTCATCCTTCTGGTTAGCAGTCAAGTGCCTTAGGCACTACGCTACCAGAGCTCCCACTTGGTAAAGCAGGTCAGTGAAAAAGAGAAAGACCCTCAATGAGATGGATTAACACAGTGGCTCCAACAATGGGCTCAAACAGAGGAACCATTGTGAGGACGGGCACGGCCAGGCAGTGTTTTGTTCTGTTTTACGTAGGGTAATATGAACTGGAACTGACTCCAAGGGACTTAACAACAACCACCTTTTGTAGTAAGGATTAATCCATTAAACACTAAGGGACCCAGTACAGTTGCTATTATTATTACCACTTTTTGATTGCAGGAATTTACACATTAGCAATTCCTTGACTGGGTTGAGTGAGTGCCTTGAGAGCAGGAACTAACTGGCACTTTCTCTGTACTCAAAGAATGATTGACTGCTGAATCCTCATGGAAGCTTTCCCATCTTCCTACCTATTCTCATTCTGTTCTCTCATCCTGTCCATCATTATCCCTGTCTACCTGCCTCAGGTCTATCTCCTAAATGGTCAATAACCATTCTTTATAATACTGTCTACCATTCCTATGATGCTTATTAGATGTTTGGAGAACTAAGTACCCCCCTTCTTTCCCTTTTACACCACCACTTAGGACAAGCACTCAGTAAATGTTAGCCATTATTATTAATGCTATATTGTTGTTGTGCCGTGGAGTCGGACCCAACTCATAGCGACCCCTCCTTGGACTTCCGAGGCAGTATCACTACGGAAGTAGATTGCCCAACCTTCCTTCAGAGTGGCTGGTGGGTTTGAACTGCCAGCCTTCTGGTTAGCAGTCAAGTGCCTCAGGCACTGTATTACCAGAGCCCCCATTAATGCTATAGTTTTTTTTAAAAAGTTCCTTTAGGGCACAACTATGTGGTACTGTTTCTGGTCTCATTTTACAGTGTGCATGAAGCACAACGGCGAAGGCCGAGCTCGGAGGAGAATGAAGCCAAGGCAGGAGATCCCCTTAAAGCCTATTTTCAGAGCCCTGACAATGGAAGGATTTGGCAGGTGTGGAAAGTGTGATATGGAAATCAGCGATTCGACCAATCAATCCCACAGCTGCCAAGATAAGGCAAAATGCTCCAGTAACAAATCAGTGCGCAGTGATAGGGGCCGGTTTGGGGGCGCCTAGCTTGCACAGTGGGAGCTCTGGTAGCATAGTGGCTAAGGCACTTGACTGCTAACCAGAAGGCTGGCGGTTCAAACCCACCAGCCACTCCTCGGAAGAAAGATGGGGCAATCTACTTCCGTAGTGATACTGCCTCGGAAACCCAAGGAGGGGTCGCTATGAGTAGGGTCCGACTTGACGGCATATAACAACAACAACAGCTTGCACAGTCTCTAAAGGCTGCCGCAAGCGGAACCTTCGTTCTCACTCCCTGTTTTCTGCGACTCCACTCAGAGTGATACACCACCAAACAGATGGCCTCCTTCCCTCACCCCTCACTACCGATAGCCTATTCCGTGGACAGTTCCGGAGTCGGTGACTCCTAATGTCAAAAAAACGATTAACTAACACACCTACCACTGACGATAGCTTCCCAACCAGTTTCTCCCTAACAAGGTCTCACGATATCTCTGTAGAGAAAAACGTCCGACGTAAGCCCGCCCACGCTACTCCTACCAGCGCTGAGGCCCAAACGGGTAGCCCGTGCCGTATAGCTCCAGTGTGTGCTCGTCCGCAAGCTCAGGCGCGCACGCTGTCCCGCGCTCATGCTGCCCCGCCTCCGCCGCCCCATCTGGCAGCCCATCCGCCCATCGCGCGCTGCTTTCACTCCAGTACTTCTGGTCTGCCCCGCCTCCCCCTTCTGTACCGTTGGAGGCAACCGCTGTGCGTGTGAGCGCTCTGTTAGCCAAAAAGAAGACGAGGAACCCGGATCACCTGGGAAGGGAGCTGCAGTGTGTAGCCGAGGCTACTCTGCAAGCTCTGGGAGTAGAAGTGGGAAGGAGGTAGAGTTCTGGAAAAGAGGTAGAGTTCCAGAAGGAGAGCAGAGTAGGTGAGCTTGGGTCCGACTCGAGTTTGGGCTTAGGATCGAGACTGGTCTGCGAGGCCCCCAAACTGGCGATACATCCACCTTGAGGAGGACAGACCTGACACAGAGAGACGGACCGAGCAAGGCGACATGGCCTCCCCATTCCTGTCCACAGGAGCCACCACGGGCGATAGCGGCGGCGAACAGAGCTCAGGGGACGACTCTGGTGATGTCGGTGAATCCCTGCAGAGCCCCGAGAGCGAGGCATCCAGGAGCCTGACAGAGCTGTTTGAGAAGGCTGCAGCGCACCTCCAAGGCCTGATTCAGGTGGCTAGCAGGGAGCAGCTCTTGTACCTGTATGCCAGGTACAAGCAGGTAAAGTCGTAGGGAAAGGGTGGGAGTGGGAGAGAAACAAGGGAGTCTTCTCTTTCCTCCCCAAACTGGTAACAAAGTGCATGGTTAATGGGTAGGTGTAATGTGTGTGAATCATATGCTGGGTTTTAGCATCATTTTAGCCATGGGAGGGCCCCGTGTACTTTGTTGTTGTTGTTGTTGTTATGTGCCGTCGAGTCGGCCCCGACTCATAGCGACCCCTTCTTGGGTTTCCGAGGCAGTATCACTACGGAAGTAGGATTGCCCAACCTTCCTTCCGAGGAGTGGCTGGTGGATTTGAACCGCCAGCCGTCTGGTTAGCAGGCAAGTGTCTTAGCCACTATGCTACCAGAGCTCCCCGTGTACTTTAGAACTGATATTTAATTGGACACTGAGTGATAGTTTTTCTATATTCTCTGTCTTGCTCAATGACCTTGTACATCTTCTGCTTTCATAAGCCTCAACCTTTACAAAATGAAGATGATAAAATAAGATTTGTCATTCACTGTTGCCAAAGGGTCATATGGAAGTAAATATGATAATGTTAATAACATTCTTTAAGATCCCAGAGAATATGGTTGTAATAAATAGGATGATGTAATACAAAATTAAAATACTTTTATTAGTGATTTTTTTTAAAACCCTAACTTACTCAGATTTATGTTTTGGCTCAGTGTTTCTATCTTTTGGATACAATCATAAAAATTTTAGCTCTAGTAAAGACCAGGTCAAATAATCTCCTTCTTTTACAGAAAAAAGTAACCAAAGCCCAAAGAAAGTAGGTAACTTGCCCAGGGTCATACAAATAAATTAGATCTAGATTGTATCTCCTCTGCGTAGACTTCTGAGTTTACTTGGAAATATGTACCTGTAAATGAATTAATTATTCATATGACATGTTTATCATTCAAAGAGTAACTGGTTAGATGACAGAAGGAAACTACTTGCTTAATCAGTTAACAAGTAGTTGTTCTGTATTTTATATGTGCAAAATAGGTGTTAACGCATACAGGGAATGCAGTCCAGAAGCGGAAGCTTCCTGATACTTGCCCTCAAGAGGCTTTAGCAAGTACTTGAGGAGTCTAGATGTAAACTAGGGAAAAATCAGTGCAGTAGTTCAGGTATACTCCACCTGTTTGGAGGAAATGAAGTTCTGGATAATAACCCATTTTGCTTCATTTTTAAAACAATTTAACCTTTTATTTGGCCTCTTGTATTTTAACTTTTATTGATGGAAACTTCCTAAAAGATATAATCGCACATTTCCCCCTGTATTCTTAACTGAATATACTAAATAAAGATGTACCTTTTTGTGAAGACTGATAATCATTATTCTGAATATCAGTTAATGTGACCGAGAGATGGAGCTGGAGGTACCAGTGGTATAAATTACAGTGTTGAATGAAAATTGCCCTTTAGACTAGCCTTGGAATTTGTTTTCTTTCAAAAGATCTGGATATCTATTTTCTCTATGGTTATTTCTCCTTTTTAACAGCATTAAGATGAAACCTTTGATATTATTTAACAAGTATTTCTTGTGCATTGTGGCACGTGTGTGCCTGATGATTCTTTGGGCTGTGTAAGACGAATTTTCTCCATATTCCTGAGAGAACATTCTTTATTCTTTCACATATCTTTGTTTTTTGATACTAGCATCATCATTATTAAATATCTGGTTTCTGAGTCATCAGTGAACTACAATCATGTGTCAGCTTGCAACCATTCTGTCTGAATGGTGTGTTCATCTCATCCAGATAGTTCTGAAGGAAGACTGTTCTTCACCTTTTCCAGAACTTGGCTTTAGGGTATTTGGAGATATTCTGAATCTGAAAATAAAATTTTTCATTACCAGAGAATCAGATTGTGCTTGCTTAGGTATAACAGTGGGCCACAGTTTCCATCAGTCTCTCCTAAATATTTAACAGTAGCGTCTATAATAGAATAATAAAGTTGTAAGTCCAGTTAGTTCTTGCATAGTAGATTACAATTTCTCAGAAAACCATTTCTTTAAAAAATTTTCAATTCAGACTAGCTCTCTATTTTGTAGGCTGAATGATGAGGTAAGGTTGTCAAGTAGGAAGATGAGATATGAACCTTATTTTTTCAGGGTGAGCTAACTTAATAACTCTTTAAGTCTCATATAAGCCTATGGTTCCAAAATTATCTTTAAATGAAGTTTTAAGAGGATCAAACCAATTCACATCTTTTTGGTCCTTCTGTGCATTAGCCTGCAACTCAGCCAGCAAAATGTGATTAGAGGCAGGCTCTGGATTACAAGTTTCGTTCTAAATCTGTCTTTAAGGCAAATTTGTATGTTAAGTTGGAAGTTAGGCACAGTGTCTATAACTTTTTGGTTAGCAATAATACACTTTAACCACTGTGCCACCAGCACTGACTCTTCCTATGCTTAAAAAACATTAAAGAAACATTTCCAAATAACCTAAATCATCTGTAACATAATAATACAATAATAATAATAACAATGTTTTAATGTGCATTGCAAAGTAATGCCCATTTGTTATTATGAACCATTGTATGTACTTTGAATTTTTAACATAATTGGTTTTATGTGGTTGGTTCCTATCTATGGGTTATGTGTAAATCTGGTTCATAACCCAGTGACTGCTTGTACTTGACACCTGTGAAAATTCTAGGGCAATGAAAGTTTCAAATTCCTTCTGACTTCATTTTATAGCAGGGAGTCCTGGTGGTGCAGTGGTTAAAGCACTCATCCGCTAACTGAAAGTTTGGTGATTTGAACCCACCAGGTGCTCCGTGATAGAAAGATGTGGCAGTCTGCTTCCATTAAGATTTATAGCCTTGGAGCAGTCCTACTCTGTCCAATGGGGTTGTTATGAGTTGGAATCAACTCTACAGCAGTGGATTGGGATTGTTTTTTTGGTGCAGCACTAGCACAGGTGAGGATACTCAGCCTGTCTTCCTGCTTTAAAATGGGGGCGCTTGATACCAGTGATGGCATTGGCCACTGGCAGTCTTTGTTGAAATATTCTGCTGTCGGGACACTGGATATCAGATATTATATCAGAGACAACAAGAGGGTAGATGCTCTTAAAGTGGTACGATTTTAAACTCTGTTTCATAGCTTATGATTCATTATCTAATGATTTGGAAACTATCAGTCATGAGGTCCTAAAATCTCATAGTTTTATTTTCTCAGACTTTTCTGGGTGCAGAACTGTTCATTGAATTTGGATATTCCAAAAGCTTGTGTTTCGGTTGGCACACAGGGTCATTTGCTGAATTTTTATTTTCATCTCATATAATGATCTGGTGGTATGTGGTCTAGGGTCTGCTTCTTACCATCGTCCAGGGACTTAGGCCTTTTCTATCTTGTGCTCAACTATCCTGTAAGGCAGCAGTTCTCAAATTGTGGTCCACAGATCCACTGAGAAGCCCTAAAACTCTTAGGGGATCTACAAGGTCAGAACTGTTTTCTTAGTAATAGTAAGATATTATTTGTCTTTTTCCTATGCTGTCATGGTAGATAAAAGTGCTGATGCCTACGCATGCCTCAGGATAGTGGCAGCAAAGTGTACTAGTAGTTGTATTTTTTTTTTCATTGCCATGTGCTCAGAGTTTTTTGTTTTAAAAAGCCAGTTTCACTTAAAAATGTCTTTGATGAAGCAGTGGAAATTATTCATTTTTATTAAATACTAACTCTTGAGTCCATCTTTTTAACATTGTGTGTGTAGGAAGGGGAGATACTTATAAAGCATTTCTGCATTATATTGGCTATTTTGAGGAAAAGCACTTGTGTCATTTTTGAGTTCTGACCTTAACTATCTTCTTTTTTTCCTGAAACATTTTTACTTAAGAGACTATCTCACACATAAGCTATGCTTAATCAGGTTTGGGTGTTTGGCAGAAATTTTCTTAAAATTTCTGTCACTTCAAGGAAAATCACTAATAGTATTTATTGTTGGTGATAAAACTTGAGCTTTCATACAAAAATGAGAAGTTTGGAAAATCTGTATCCATGAGCTGTATCCAGTACTTCAAAACTTTTTGATGAGCTCAGGGGTGATATTAATGAATGTGAACTAATTTAGCATAGTGCCTAAGGCATTTGACTGCTAACCAGAAGGCTGGCGGTTCAAACCCACCAGCTACTCCTCGGAAGAAAGGTTAGGCAATCTACTTCCGTAGGGATACTGCCTCAGCAACCCAAGGAGGGGTTGCTCTGAGTCAGGTACGACTCGACGGCACATAACAACAACGAATGAAATTTGTCAACATTTGGAAGTTCTGCATAACTTTGTGAACCAATATTTTTCAGTAACCAATGCTTGGTGTTATAAAATCATATGTGGGTAACACATCCCTTCAAAGTGCAAGTCAGACCAATGGATTTCAATGTAAAATTCATCAATGTGATTTCACATTCCACATAGCAACTAACCCAAAAGAAATTGGCACTAGTCAAGTTTTGGCATAGTATCAGAGAATCAAGCTGTTACTTAAAAAGCCCATTAAAATATTCCTCCTCTTAACATATCTGTGTGAAGTCAGATTTTCTTCATATGCATCACCAAAGCAGTATATTCCAACAGATAGAATACAGAATACATGAGCTCTGGTGGCGTAGTGCCAAAGGCATTTGACTGCTAACCAGAAGGTTAGAGATTCAAATCAACCAGCCATTCCTCAAAAGGAAGATTGGACAATCTACCTCCGTAGGCATACCACCTTGGAAACCCAAGGAGTTCCTATGAGTTGAATTGACTCGATGGCAGTGAGTTTGGTTTTTTTTTTTATATGAGAATTCAGGTTCCTTCTATTTAAGCCAGATATTAAAGAAATTTACAAAATGTAAAACAGTTCTACTTTTCTCACTAAATTTATTTTTGTTTTAGAATATTTAGTTATTTTTTCATAAAATTTTGTGATTTATGTTCATTTGTAACAGGCTTATTGTCATTTTTAAGTGAATCAATACATTTTTTAAAAAATGTCTCAGTTTTAATTTCTAATATGGTAAATAT